TTGGTGAGAGATGAACTTTATTGTATTTATCCTAGTGGATCTATAATTAAACAGGTAAACTAGTAGTAGCACATCCAACGTCAAGGAAAGCAAAAAGTTATTATCAGAAGAAGGAGAATGTTTTAGTGGTTAGCAGCAGTGTGCTAGATGATGGCCCCCTCCATGAGGCCACCACAGCTCAGCAGAACATCATTGTAGCTTCTGTCTTGGTTGTTCTTGTCTGATCTGAAGTCCTTAAAGATTGTTAGAAACCAAGCTCTTTCAGGACCACCCCTGTTCACACACACACACACACACACACACACACACACACACACACACACACACACACCAGACAGAAATCATTCATGTTAAAGGAAGGTATCTCTTGTACGCTGAACAGGTTTGTGTTTCAGCGACAGAGGAGGAGGTGAGGACGATGGCCAGAGGCAGAGCCGGCCCCGACTTGTGTCTCTAAAGCCTTCCCACCTTTCCCACCCTTCTCTCCTTTTCATTCCTGAAGCATTCATTCATCCATTCACAAAGTCACAACCCACCACCGTCCCAGAACAAATGTTCCTCGACTCGTTTCTGGTTTGCCTTTTGGTTCCTCGCTGACTCGAAGCACCGCTCCCCTTTAGAGTCTCTGAGAAGAAGATCGGGGTAGAAAGGAATGAATGAATGAAGCTGAGCCTAAAGCCTGAAAAAGTAGATGATATGATACACAGTCACCCTCATCAACAGGAGGTGGTGCGTTTATGACATAACCTAAACTAATGTTAGCAACCAGTGTTGGGCAAGTTACTTCAAAACTGTAATGCATTATTTATTACTTGTTACCCTCATTTTAAAGTAACTCATTACATTACAATATTACTGATTTTAAAATGTAAGGCATTACACTACTTTGACATTACTTTAAGTTACTTTCACCAAAACAACTTCAGTATGAATCTGGTAATCTGACGCTCAGTGAGCTCATGACATATATGTGGAAAGTGATGTGGTGTCTGAGCTAGGGTTGCTGTTAAAAACAGTCAGATATAATAACAGTGCTTTAAAATGATTGTTTATTAAATAAAAGCAACAACAATCTGTACTCTCAGCACACTGCCATCTTATATTAACTGAGCAGGGAGTGAGGTGGTGGGGGCTCCAAGCCTATATTTGCCTTGGTCCCCAAATGCCTTGATACGGCCCTGGATGTGGGACTGACTTCTGGGGTGATCTGATTCTATCACATGTATAAATATTAAATGCTGATATATTATTGCTTTTCACTGGTAAAAATGTGTATTGGGGATAAATCTACCGACTTTTTTTTCTTTTCAAGCACTTTGCTTTGTTTTCTTGATTTTATGTGAATAATTTCCGGCCCTTTCTCTCTCTAACCTTCCTGCATGCTGCATGTTTTCTCCGTCTTCCAGAAAAACTGTAAACTAGATTTCCTACTTTCTAACTAATCAGCCAAAGGGATCTACCAAACCAGCAGCAATGAGTCGAAATCACCGGGGCACAGATTATGAACTCAGCTGAAAAGTACATGAAGTACCAGAGAATATGGGCGGATATAAACGATCGTAAACAAATGACTTTGTTTTGGTGGAGCGATTTTGTGAATATAACAGCGGCCGCGCGCCAGACGCAGCTGGAGTATTTGAGCCATTACTGCCGCGTCCTCTCTGCTCACAGAATGCCCACAAAGCTGAGTCCATAAATGACGTCATATATGTGGATACTGGATCTTTTTTCAGGCTTCCCGCAATTTGAATTTTTAGGAAACCCGCATCTTGATTCTGGGTTTAAAAATGCGTTGTAATTATTGCGTTACTGACAATTGTACCGAGCAAATATTACCATTTTCTTTCCCTGTAATTCAGTTCAAATTCTATTCAATTCAATTCAAAAATACTTTATTAATCCCAGAGGGAAATTGATTGCTGTAGTAGCTCAGAATAATAATAATAATCAAGTCATGAAAGAGTTGTTGTATATTACAATGGCTGTTGGCAGGAAGGATCTCCAGGAGCGGTCAGTGTTGCAGCCAAACTGAAGAAGCCTCTGACTGAAGACACTCTTCCGTTGTCGGACAGTCTTGTGAAGAGAACGCTCAGGGTTGTCCATCATTTTCTTGATTTTCTGGAGAATCCTTTTTTGCATTATCTCCTCCAGCGGTTCCACAGTCGTCCCCAGAACAGAACCAATTTTTGTGGGCTGTTGAGCCTTTTCAGGTCCCTGCGCCATTATGATCGATGGAAGAGATGGTTTGAATTTTTGCTTTCTCTGTCTCTGTTTTGCTCCCGCTCTGCACCCACGGTTCTTGCGTTTTAGCGTTTTAGCTCAATTGGGATTTGTGGCTTCAGTTGAGGTATTATTTCAGCCTTTCCAATGTTAATCAGCTGCTCCCGATTGTAAACCAACTTGTTACCATGGTTACGCATCATAACAAATGCTCAAAAAGTGAAAAAAGTAAAACAAACTGCTGTAAAAATCCTCCAAGCTTCACAGCACCAGAAACAGAAAAGTAAAGTGTCAAAAAATACAGTTTTTCTTAAGAAACTAGAAGAAAAAATGCATTTACTAAGAAATAACAATGTAACCATAGAAACATTACTTGGTGTGTGTGTGTGTGTGTGTGCGTGCGTGTGTGCGTGTGTGCGTGCGTGCGTGCGTGTGTGTGTGTGTGTGGATGGCTGCTTATACTGAGCCAGGATCCTCTGGAGGTTTCTTCCTGTTAAAAGGGAGTTTTCCTCTCCACTGTCGCTATATGCTTGCTTAGTATGAGGATTGCTGTAAAGACTCTGACACTAGTCAGTGGTTGTGTCTCAATTCAGGGTCTGCATCCTTCGAAGGACCCAGCCCACCCGGCCGACGTGGGCTGCGTCCTCCGTCGGCCGGGTAGACCGGATGTTAACGGCTGTGAATTTGGACTGGCCTAGCCTTCATGAACTCCCTCGGCGAACGTTCCATCGCCTAGCAACCGTGGAACCGCTGGGCAGAAGGAACTTTAAACGATGGAGCTCGACGTTTTATTTAGCTTTTTAACCCCCAGAAACCCAAATTTAGAAAACAACTGCAAAATCTTTTTTTAACCTTTCACATGTTGTTCTAGGAGGCCAGATAAACGGGCCTATTTACACATTTTAACAGCCAATAGTGTTGCAGAACTGAACAATAGGACCTATTAGCAATGTAAATGTGGTTTGAAAAGAAAAAAAATGAGGAAGGTTTATTTTTGTAGACTTAAATCTGATGTTGTAATATTACAACCGTGGGTCTCTGGGGGTTAATCATTTCCTTGACTGTTGGAGAGCTAATTCAGAGAAAATACTTTCGACAAGCTGAGCCTGAGCAAAGATGTGATAATAGTTTTTAATACTTTCTAAGGGTCTTAATTTGACCAAAACCGATTTATCACCTTTTAAGCCTTTAAGACCCAGCGGATACCCTCTAGTAAACAATTCTCATTTGTAAACAAAAATAAAATCCAAGAGTTTAATGCAGAACTGATTTTATTTAGATATTTCTTTTATATGTACATGTTTAATCTTCCTTAACCATTTTTTTCTAGCAAAGTAAAAAGCTGTCAAAGTTCTTCCTTCTCTTCTGGGCCCTCTGCTGCTCTGCCTCCCTCTGCAGCCTCATGTCCTCCCTGATCAGCTCCAGGAGCTGGTCATCGCTGGCACCTTCCCCTGGATGCCCATTTTCTCCAGAACAGTCTTAACAAACAAGTAAGAAAAAAAAACAGATAGAGAAAAGAGGACAACGGGTTATTCCTTTCATGTTTTCGCAGAAAAAAATAAACTCAAACGAGTTTTTTAAAATATGAGATGTTATTGTACCTCCATGCCACAGCCGCCGAATACTTTGTTCCAGTGATCATGTGGTCCATCTCCGCCCTAAGCTTAATAAATTCCCTGGTTTTCTCTTTTGTTCCTAAAATACAAACTTCTATTGATGTGACAGTGTGAGTGTCCTGTCACAATGTCCCGATTGATCATGCGCCCTGGCTACTTGGCCAAGGGGATGTCCCTTTGGCTGACTGGTTAGAGCGTATGACTCTCACCCGGGAGTCTGGGGATCGAATCCCGCCCGGGCCCTCGTTTATCCACCTTGCCACATTAAAATCAGGGGGAAACGTAGCGGGAGAAGTACGACACCGAGCGGCCGAACGTACGCGCCGAGACCGCAATACAAGCACTTTTACTGTAACATTTCTAACTAAAATAACGTTCGTGTATCACAAAAAGTCCTTAACCTAACAGTTTTCAAGTTTATACTGACATTTATGTGCGCAATCCTCTCCGACAGCTCCCGCTTCACTGTCCGCCATTGTTTTTAAGTTTTTCTGCCGGCCGGCTCGCAAGGCATCTTGGGAAATGCTACCTGTTGAAGGATACACCCGACCCATCCTTCATTCAGGCGAAAAGAAGGCCGCATTCGTCGACCGCATTTGAAGGAGTCTTCGAATTGGGACAGGCCGAGTCGCGGCGCTGTGACGTACCCGGCCGACGAATCCGGCCGACGTAGGATGCAGACCCTGAATTGAGACACAGTCAGTGACTCGATGCAACCTGCTGGGTTCCTTTTTTGGGAAACTTGTTACTGATTGGCTTAATGACCTGAACTGTATTGGAATGTTTACTGTGTGAAGGTCCTTGAGACGACTCTGGTCCTGATTTGGTGCTTTATAAATAAACTTGAATTGAATTAGTCCACACAAAAAAACATGAAGTATTTATGAATGAAGAAAAAACAGTTTTATCAGAGCTCATATGTTAGTTAACTACCCGGGTAGTTTGTGTCTTTAGTTGTGCAAAAAACTTCAGCTTTGCTGTCTTTGATGAAGTTCGTTCCACAAATCCTGAAAGTGGGAAAACTCTTGATTGTAGCTTTACTACAAAAACTAGAAAAAATAGAGCAGACAAAAACTAACTTTCATTTCAAATTTCCAGATGTATTTTGGGATTTTTTTTTTTCAGCCTTTTCTCAATGTCTACATAACCCCGCTGTTGGTCTAGGTTCTGGGCCGGGTTCTGCTGCTCCAGCTGATTGACGAGCTGGTTCGAGGTTTCCGGAACAATGAGACGTGGGCTCTGCACCTCCTGAACAGCACCCGGATCCACATCCTGCCCACCATGAACCCTGATGGCTTCGATGCAGCCGACACCAACTGCATCTACAGCCAAGGAAGGTAAAACGGTCTCAGAACAGACCCCAAGACATCCTTTGTTCTTTACACCCAACGCTGGACGTACAAACGGGTCAGAGGCATCCATTTCTCTGGTCGGTGGGACGTTTTCAGCAGGGTGAAAAACATTTTGTTATAATGGTGTTTTTCTGCTGAATCAGCTAAAGAAAATTAAAGAAATGTGTTTTTAGGACTACAGAGCTCAAAGTTCTGATGTAATCAGCATGATTACTGCGTAAATATTAACCTGCAATGCTCCAACGCCCAAGTGCTGTAATTAGCAGGAAACACGCACACACACACACACACACACACACACACACACACACTGATTACAGGCAGTTGAAGCCTTTAATTATCTTTGTTTTGACGTGCTTTCTGCTGTGTTATGGGTGGTACCGTCTCCTCGCTCAGACTCATCGGGTCGACTCGCCTCGTTGACCTGCAGGTTTGAGTCTCAGGCAAAACCAGAGCGTGTGTGGTATGTTTCAGGTCACGTTGGCCAGACCTTAGATCCAGTTTACATGGCAACAGAGACTCTATAGGGCCTTTTCCACCGCCCAGACTGGCATGGAATAGGAAGGATGGGGTCGCTAAATATTTTGTTTTGATTGTTAAACCAGTCCAGAAAACCCACCCGGACCGGGCCAGTAGCGGGCCAGAGCGCGACCCCTTCTGTTGTGGGTCCAGAGATTTTTGATCTGGGCGGAGCTACAGCGTAAAAGGTCTAGAGTCCTCTGATTGGGGGAGAAATTACGTAACTACCCGCGACAATCCCAGAGTTCCAGTGTTTGTGTTTGGCTGTACTCCTTGTGCGAAAATGCCTGCAAGTATGCGCACAGCATAGCTCTAAACGCTATCGTGATGTGGGTGTAAAGAATATACCTTACACCAAGAACGGAAAGAACCCGCTGCTGACTGGACTCCATTGTTGTTGTGTTTTGGCGCGTTCTCGTCGCGCTGTGTGACGCATTACGCTACCCCGCCTGGTAACTGGAGCCTGGAATGCAATAGAGACGCTTGCCGGACAACTTCTAGACCCATACCGGTACATACCGGTCCATAATACCCAGACCTGACCAGGTTCCAGACCAGGCGATGGAAAAGAGCTATATGTGTGGCGATAGAAAATCAGTTTTGGTCCTACGGTGTTATAACATTCACCCCCCTAACTTGAGTCCAGGAGAGGGATTGCTAATTCACACATAAGGGGTCCTCTGAAAGCACCATTGAACCCAACATATTTAAATACAGGATCACCCTCTCTTGGCACTGAAGGACTTCCGTACAACCTTCCCTTCCAAATGAGACATGGAACACCAACCACTTGATATCTCCCACGTATACTTATGTTGTTATTCAACTTGAATCACGTGACGTTCATACATGGCTTTGGTGTAAATCCCCTTGGAAATGAATCCCCTAAGTGTCCATCTACAGCGCCGCCATAATGCGCTTAGGAAGTCTCCGATTGGTGATTGACGCACCGACCCGAAAGCAACCGAAGCAGTCCAAGGGGAAAAAAAGGAGTGAAAAAAAGGAATGCGGCCGCTAGCTAAATAGAAAATAAGTGGTATACCACAAAATAAAAAGGGTCGATCTCACCGGGTCCAGCAGTCAATGACCCAGTCCATCCACCGATCTGGCTCCGCTGATTGGCGGTGATGCAGGTGGTCTGGGGTGTTTCCTGTCATTCAGCTGGAGAGTGCAGGTATCTAACCTTAACCCGTCACCCATAGGCCTACTGAGTTTCTTCACTCAGTTACGTGGTAGACTTTTAGTTTGATAACTAAACAGGCTGCAGCAGAGCCACGCTGACACCTGCACCACACCCATCCGTGCTCAGTTTTTTTCTCTCTCTTCCTCTCCTCCACGCCTGACGCAGCCCTCTCTTAACAGCTCGGGTGTGGCAAACAACACAAATACACTGATGAATACATGAACAACCCCGACTCACCCAATTACACACACAGTGGAAAAGAAAATCACAGTGGCACAGTTTTACAAGTAAACTCTGGTAATTGTTTTAGACCCTTTTCTCATATCCTCTGTGCAACTAATATGAAATATTTTCCTTTATTTTAACACTTGTCTAATGTAGCGAAGCCACAGTGTGTTGCCACACACCCACACTACTCAGGAATCGATTTCTCACACACACACACACACACACACACACACACACACACACACACACACACACACACACACACACACACACACACACACACACACACACACACACACACACACACATACACACACATACACACACACATCCTCTGGTTTCTCATAAAACCTCTGGAGATCAAACCAAACATGGTGGAAAAGGGGCATGCAGCGTGCATCCGTCACCTCGCTCTATGATTAGCTGCATGTCACATTTGCCTGGCAGCATGTGTTTGTACTTGATATCAAACCAAGACAGTGGAACATGTTTAATATCCCTGATTTATGATTGGAGCAGGACGATGTGCTTCAGAGCAGACCAGATTATTCTTAACACACCACACATCTGATAAGATTATCTCTAGAGCCGTTAGGATAATCGGGGTGGGGGGTCCTCAATATTATTGGGGGAGGAGAATTGAGTCACATCCATACGTTTTTTCTAGTTGTGTGAAGCAACAGGAAGTGAACTAAACTAGGCTGTTAGTGCATTTGTTCTCTTAGACTAGAGGATTTGGAAGCTTATTCTTCCGTTCGAGGTGGCTAAACCGAGTTAGCAAACACAAACTGTCTCTGGCTGAGTTGGTTCAGCTGACATTGAGCTCAAATATCATGTGTGGGAGCTGAGCGTTGTTCAGATTATGCCGGTTTTACCCTCTTTGCTCTGGCTACCTGAGAGGAGGGTCTGTCGGATTGCCGAACCTCGGATTCAGGAGGAGCAATGTGGTTTTCGTCCTGGCTGTGGAACACTAGACTCCTATACCCTTAGGGGGTCCTGGAGGGTGGGGAGTTTGCCCAACCAATCTACATGTGCTTTGTAGATTTGGAGAAGGCGTCCCTCGGGGGGCCCTGTGGGGGGTACTCCAGGAGTATGGGGTACCAGGCCCTCTGATACGGGCTGTTAGGTCCCTGTATGTCCGGTGTCAGAGCTTGGTCCGCATTACCGGCAGTAAGTCGGGCTTGTTCCCAGTGAGAGTTGGACTCCGCCAAGGCTGCCCTTTGTCACCGATTCTGTTCATTACCTTTATGGACAGGATTTCTAGGTGCAGCCAAGGCGTGGAGGGCATCCGTTTAGGTGGCCTGAGGATCAGGTCTCTGCTTTTTGCAGATGATGTGATCCTGTTGGCTTCATCAGAACGTGATCTCCAGCTTTTGCTGGAGCAGTTCGCAGCTGAGTGTGAAGCAGCTGGGATGAGAATCAGCTCTTCTAAATCTGAGACCATGATTTTGAGTTGGAAAAGGGTAGAATGCCTCCTATATGCCCCCCGGTTAAGGTTTTCCGGGCACGTCCAACCGGGAGTAGACCTAAAGGAAGACCCAGGACACGCTGGAGGGACTATGTCTCTCACCTGGCCATGGAACGCCATGGGATTCCCTTGAAAGAGTTGACCCAAATAGCTGGGGTGAAGGAAGTCTGGGCCTCTCGACTTAGGCTACTGCCCCTGTGACCCGACTCTGGATAAGCGGAAGAGAATGGATGGATATTAAATTTCTAGGCCCTCATTTATCAAACGTTCGTAAAATCTCCTCTATTCCCTCCTACGACCTAAATTTAGAATGTGTGTACGAACAGTCAAAATCCTGATTTATGAAACGTGCGGTAGCCGCTCGTGCGCACGTTCCTCCACAACCGTCTGATGATAAATCCCACCTGTGCTACCCAGGTGCTCATGTCCGTTCTCAGTCATTTACATGCAGGAACGCTCTCAATTAACCATATAGGGTCACACTACATCTTCAGCACGTGAGGGGATTCCATGTTTTTTCCCGAAAAAAATAAGAAAAACTTTATTGACAGCAAGATTGAAACACTGGCTGCCGAAGCGCAAAATAACCGAACAAGTTGCAGATTGAGGTTATAAACGCGGTCGGGACAGACCTTCGGTATGCATTTCCCACTAGATGCTGTTCCTACACACGGTCAGAGATGTTGTTACATTTAGGAACGTTTCTACGCACAAAAAGTACAAAATGATAAATACCACACAATGTGTTGAGTTGTTCCTACGCACAGATCTGTGGGTAGGTACGTTTGATAAATGAGTCCCCATGACTTGATGTTTATCACACTCACACACACACACACACACACACACACACACACACACACACACATACACACACACACACACACACACACACACACACACACACACATACACACACACACACACACACACACACACACACACACACACACACACACACACACACACTACACACACACACACACACACACACACACACACACACACACTAGTAGTTCTCTTTCCTCTGATCTTCCTCTCTCAATGCAGTATTGAATGGGAAGTTGTAATCGTGCCACTATTTTGACCCAGACCAGCACATAAGGAATTACAATTATCCAATCTGGCTGTAGTGAAAACATGTATCACCGTTTTCATAGAATAGCATGACAACAGAAGCATAATCCAAGATTAACAACGAAGATTAAACAAACACATCCAAGCCACGGTATTTATCTTTATTTTAAGAGAAGCGTCTAAATTCACTCCTTAGTTGAAGACCACATCCTTCTCAAGAGGCCCGAATTCTAGGAGGTTGGTCCCATGATTCATATTCTGTGTCTCCCCAGGATTAAATACTAAGTTCCCAGTTTTCCTCTTATTTAACATCCAAACATTTGAGGCCGTCCAGGATTTACAGCCTCCAGACAACCCAAAAGAGACTGGGTTGAGCCTATTGACTCCTGCTGCAGTGAGAAATATAGCCAACAATCATCTGCATATACATGAAACTTAATGCCATCCTTACAAAAGACTGTTGCTAATGGCACCAGATAGAAAAAAAACAATAGAGGGCCAAGAACAGAGCCCTGTGGAACTCCCCATTTTAATTCTGTCCAGGAGGATGATTGCTCACCCAACCAGACACAGAAGCATCTGTCTGTTAAATGTGTCTGATGTTGGTTCTGTTCCTCTCAGGTTCAACTACCACGGAGTGGATCTGAACAGGGGCTTTCCCGACGCGTTTGCTAGTCTCCAGAACCAGCAGATTAACGAGGAGAAGATGGAGCCTGAGGTTGGTTCTGACCCATCACAGTCTAGGTTTAAAGGCATTTCCAGCTCTCACACACAGCGTCAGGTTTTTAGTGAGTAGCTGGAAGTTTCCAGGCTCAAGTTTATTAATGATGTAGCTGAAACATCCAGCCTCGCTTCCCGCTAAAAAGGAAAAGCGTTCAGATTCCCTTTTTATAGCAGTTATATAGTTCTGCCTCCAATTTAGTAAGTGAAAATGATTCATCGGCTGAAACGAGTCACCTCCTCCTCCGGAGTTGTTCCCTATTTCCGGACAAACCGGAATTACTGGAACACGTCGAGCTAATTTTAAACTCGTGTCATAAAATAAGACGCTTCTGTTCTGTTGTTCCAGGCAGTGTCACGGATCTGCTGGGATAACAGGAAATCCAAATCTGTCGTAACAAAAACAGACTTATGTTAATGTGTTTATTTAAATCGATGACTTGTGAGTTTTTGAGTCAGGTGTTTTTTTCTGCTACAGGTGAGGGCTGTGGTTGACTGGTTACAGACGGAGACTTTTGTTCTTTCAGCCAACATCCATGGAGGAGCGCTGGTGGCCAGTTATCCCTACGACAACGGCAACCCGAGTAAAATAACTTATTCTTTTACCAAGTACCAGAAGTACAGCGATTATAAATAATGCTCAGATTACAATAATAAAACCAGGGAGGGTGATATTTATAGATGAGTCTGGTTAATTGTCTGAAGTCATGCGCCCCCTGCTGGTAGCTTGCAGCACAAATAAATCTTAAAGTCTCTTAAATAACTAAAGAAACGTCATTTCCTGTTTTCTGACACAGACCAGCTGGTCGGAGCCGGCATCAGTCCTGACAACGAAGTGCTTGTTTACCTGGCCAAGGTGTACTCCTACAATCACACCTCCATGTACCGCGGGGACATTTGTGTAGACAGTGGACCATTCCAGGACGGCATCACAAACGGGTTCCAGTGGTACCCGCTGCAAGGTCAGCGTGAGGAAGGCTCAGACAAAAAAACATCTGGTTAAATTCACTATATTTTAGTGATATTCTCCTAAAGTGTTCCTCGGTTTTCAAGAAGCTAGAGAAGCGTGAAGTACTTCCCAGGTCCAGCAGAGGGCCAGCTACACCTCACATCTTTGGTTAAATTGCATTTCCTAAACTCCTGAAACATGATGAGTCATGGTGACTCACTGGTGACATTCTCTGGTTTCCTGCTGCAGAAATTTGAGCAAAAAGTAATCTGATTCCTTCCATCTGTTTCCTCTGTGGGAGCCCTCTGCCCTGGGGGCGGTGGTCGGCTGTGGCGGCCTGGGTGCTTTCCAGGTGTGCCTGGGTGGAGGTGGAGGTGGAGGTCTCCTCCCTCCCTGCCCTGGGCGCCCTGTGTCGGTGCCTCGGCTGCTGCTGTGGATCTGCAGCTGTCGGGGCGGATGGCTCCCCTGATGGCGTTTCCTTATCCTTTTCTTAGCTGGTCTGGCTCATCTGATCTCAGTCCATCGTGTTTTTTCCATGGGGAAGGGGTCATGTGTGTGTGCGTGTGTGCCGCAGGATGAGTGTTGTGAAGGGGTTTTTATTGTCAGACTGTTAAAATTCTGGGGATGGGAGGGAATGTGGGTATGTGGAGCCTTTTTAATTTGTTAAGCACTTTGAGTTGCATGCTTTGTATGATTAAGTGCTATATAAAGTTGATTGATTGATTGATTGATTGATTGATTGATTGATTGACTGATTGATTGATTGATTGATTGATTGATTGATTGATTGATTGACTGATTGATTGATTGATTGATTGATTGATTGATTGATTGATTGATTGACTGACTGACTGACTGATTGATTGATTGATTGATTGATTGATTGATTGATTGATTGATTGATTGATTGATTGATTGATTGATTGATTGATTGATTGATTGATTGAAACTGAACTCATGAAGGATCGTCAGACACAAACCGTAAAGATTGGTAATCTGGACCGAAGCTCACGGTTTGGGAGAGTCAGAGTCTGCTTTTTGCATGTGATGTGGTTCTGTTGGAGGTCTTTGGAGTCAGCTCTTCCTGGTCTTAGGTGGACAGCAGTAGCTCAGGAGGTAAAGCGGGGTGTCTGGTTCCTGAGTGGTGTTAAGATGGAGGACAGATGGCCCAAAGGATCAAGGTATGGATCTGGTCCATCTAAACCAGGGGTCCTCAGCTACATTTATTCAAGGGCTGGAGCTTTTTCAGCACACCCTGATGGCCAGATGCTGTCCTAAAATAAAGTTTTATTCTATCTTAATTTAATAATGGCTTTGTTTTCCATATAACTGTTTTGAAGAGTTTAGAAAATGATTAAAAATATGTTTAAAATAATCAAAAATAGACAATTGTGATTAAAACATGCAAAGAAAGAGAGAGATTGAATAGAAAAGAGGGAAATCTGTGGATCCTGGGGAGAGCAGAACTAGGAGAGGGTGGTGAAGGTCACACAAAGCCTGAACAGGTGAGTTTAAAGGAGACCACTGAGTCCACTGATCTCAGGCTCAGGGGGAGAGAGGTCCAGAGTCTGGGGGCCACAGCAGCAGATGATCCGTCACCTTTGACCTTTAGCCTGGCGCTGCACAACCAGTAGGCTTTATCACTGGACCTCAAGGACCTGCTGGGGGTGTAGGGACTGAGAAGATCACCAATGTAAGATGGCGCTTGTCCATGTAAGGCCCTATAGACCAGAACCAGGATCTTGAAATGAACCCTGGAGTTGACTGGCAGCCAGTGAAGCTGGAGGAGAAGCGGGGTGATGTGGGTGTGTTTGGAGGACTTGGTCAGAAGCCGAGCACAGGTGTTCTGAACCACCTGTAGACGGTTCAGGGAAGTTCTGCTCAGACACGTGAAAAGAGAGTTACAGTAGTCTAAGCGTGAGGAGATGAAGGAGTGGAGAACTGTCTCAAGTTCAGAGCGGGACAGAATGGGACTCAGCTTAGCAACATTCCTGAGATGGAAGAAGGAAGAGCGAACAAGAGAACTGGCATGAGAATCCAGGGTGAGAGCTGGGTCAAAGGTCACGCCAAGATCCCTGACAGAAGGTTTGGTGTGGGGAAGCAAGCTGACCAAGAGAGTCTCTAACTTTGGGAACCAGCTTGTCTGGGGCACAGATGAGGATCTCAGTCTTATCTTCATTCAGCTGAAGAAAGCTCCCAGCCATCCAGGTTTTGATAATCTAAGCAGGTGTGTAACAGCTGCAGCTTAGACATCTCATGCCGCTTAAGTGTGAGATTTGTTTCATCACTTAAAGAGTTCGGCCATTTTACCAGACCTCTGTAAAGTTTTGATTTACCGTTTGACAGAAGGTGAAACGTGTGTTTGCAGGTGGGATGCAGGACTACAACTACGTGTGGGCTCAGTGTTTGGAGCTGACTCTGGAGCTTTCCTGCTGCAAGTTTCCTCCTGCTGATGAACTTCCTGCTCTGTGGATGGACAACAGAAAGGCTCTGCTGGCCTACATCCAGCAGGTCCACCTGGGTAAGAACCTGTATGCATGTCCTCACCTGTCCTCACCTGAGGACCATGAATAAATCTGTCTGTGTTTAATTTAGGGGTAAAAGGTCGTGTGTTTGATGGCTCTGGTGTGCCGGTGCAGGACGCTGTGGTGGAGGTCAAAGGTCATCAGAATATGTGTCCGTTCAGATCTAATCAGTATGGAGAATACTACAGACTGCTGCTGCCTGGAACCTACACCTTCGAGGTAAACACCTGTGGTTCTCCAAGCTGATGAGATAAAAACAACAGAATGTCTTCAAAGTGGAATTCTTTTGCCATTGAAGCAAGCTAAACACACACACACACACACACGCCTGTTCCCGAGGGGTAATTTTTTACATTTGACTCGGGCGCAGATTTAGGATTGAAAAAGATCTGGGGCTTGAGCCCATGAAGCCACCCCTTGACCCCGCCCCTGGTTGTTGGCACCTTTTCTCCCGTAGCCCTGTCATCATCAGTAACAGAACCGGACTCTAAGCAGAACATGCAAAGGAAATAAATAACAATTACAAACAAACAACAGGGGTTGGAAGGCAGTTTCATGGATGACTCAGGATCCAATCATTAAAGACGGAACATTCACAATGAATGGATGAGGTTTTTCCAGGGTGATTACATTTTTATTTTGGAAAGCCATTTAATTTATTGGTTGCCATCGGTATGTGAAAACCATTTCAAGCTATGTAGAAAGAATGCTCCAGAAAAGCATCTGACTCCACCTTTGATGCGTCTTCTCTGGGTAAATATTTTCCATTATTATGAATGAATGAACGAATGAATGCTTTGTTGCACCTTTTTGAGCTTTTGTAGACCAAGAGTAGACGGTGTAATCAAAAATGGAATGGACAAAAGCCAAAGCCCATTAATGCCCATCCCACGTGTTATATTCATGCCTTTACATGTTCAGATTAAGCTATGCTACCTGGTCAAATCAAAGTCAATGCTAACTTGATGAATAGCCTTTATTTATATAACACCACAGGGTTGTACAACCCCCCGGGGTGCTTGCCCACACATTCATTCATTCACACACTGGTGATGCGCCATAGTGCTTTTACAATGTTTTGATTATTTTACAATGCTATTGATGCTAAATATTGTTTTGTTTCTCTTTTCTGGCCAGGTGAGGTACCCGGATCACGAGGTTCTGACAGAAACTTTCAACATCCCATACGGTCCGGATCGGTACACCGCTCTGAAACACGACTTCCTGTTGCAACGCATTACAACGGAGGCTGCCACGCCCCCTGCTGAACCCACCCAGGCTAATCTCACTACCTGTAACTACAAGGTAAACCAGCGAGGGGGCGGAGCCATGACCGGGCCCAGGTGGAGCGTGCTGATGATGGGGCTCAGCTTATTGATCATGTTGCGGTCACTGATCATCTGAAGCTATCTCAGCACCAGCAGTCTTCATGGCGTCTGGCGGTTGCATCTTTGATCTACTGGACTAAAACGTCAAACTCCAAAACCCACTAAATCCCTCAGAGTCTGCTGACGTTGGAGACTGGTTTTAGCGTTTGCTTCCAGCTGTTTGGCTCCATAAACCCAGTTCAGGAGCAAACTGATGAACTGCTGACAAAGCAAGGATGAGCAGAGCTACAATCACCAGAAACAAGATGGCTGCTTTAGACGTGGTAGAAGTCCGTCATTCTCAGCCAGAGCTGATACTTGCACACAAACTGCTTCAGTCTGGATGTACAACACATTTAACCAAATCATATTCACATAACACAAAGTAGTTATTAGAAGTCCAGTCAGTTGTACAGCTGACAGGTAGCATAGCTAGCTGATTACTAATACAGCTAGCTGATTAGCATATGTAGCTGACAGCTAATCTCAGGACAAATGAACTGATATTAAAAGTCTGACGAGGTCATTTGCTAATCAACAAAAAGCCCTGTAGCAAAGCTGATGAGTTTAACAACAAAATAGAGAAATTTCATTTGGAACAGGTTTTTATTAAAGCTGTTCATTCTTCTCAGCTGAAGGTTTTTTAAATCCACCCAACAAAGCTAACACGTTAGCTAGATGTCTTCAAACTGCCTGTTTGATGATTTAATGGTAACAATGTCACCCACAATAACACTTAATGCTCTAAAACAGGAGATAACCACGTTTTAAAAGAAAAACTTACTTTTACCCATCATAACAGGGATCTCCAGAACTTTGATTAAAGATTTATTTTTCATGAGTGGGTAAATAAACACACTAGAAATCAGGCACAAAAACTACAAATGGAGCTCAAATAAAGGAGGCTGAGACACCCGAAGAGCAGCTCTGTGCTGACACGGGAGCATTAGAAAAGGTTTAAATCTGCATTTGCTCTCTTCAAAAGGCATCAGGGAGGCGGCAGCGGCAGGAAAAAGCTCCATTGACGGAGGACTTAAGTCATTCCTGCTGAGACGCTTCGTCTGGCCTGAGATTCATTACGGCTGGATGTAACTGTAATTTTATCTGTGAGGAGGAGCACTTTAAAATTAGCACATGAAAGGAGAGTGCTGCTTTTAGACAGTCGAGTTTAAATCAGAGAAAAGGGCTTAAAGCAGCGAGCGAGGAGAGAGCTGAGCGATTATACCACGAGTCTGTGGGACAAATCCGCCATCAACCGGAGCTGGTCTTTGTTTTTCAGAATTTCCAAATCTATTTTTTAATTAGTCAAATTGAGATTAATACTATTTTTAAATAACAAAACACTTTATACACTTCTCTTTCTTTTTATTTGAATTTTAATCCGAGTTTCTGAAAGTCTTTTGTCTCGTTTGACTTGTTGTTCCTCAGCTGTGCTTCAACACCTGTTGGTTTGTTTTCAGGGAAAAATACCGAACATTCAGAACATTAATGGCTCTAACCAAAACGCTGAACAGACAAAAGAGAAATTATTTACTAGAACAATCAGAATTCAATAGTGAAACCTAAGCGGAGGCCGAAAGGCCCTCTGGAGCTAGAAGCCGGTAAGACACGCCTGTGCCTCGTATAATCTACCCTTATAAAGTTTAAATATTAGTAGTTTGGAGCAGATTATTAAACATCACTACGCGAGTTTAGATGCAGACGCTCTGGTCTTCATCCATGAGAATAAAAACAAACCTTTAAGGAGGAACACAAATCCTGGAGAGCATCCCTCTCCTCAGCAGGACCCGTAGTTACTGACTCTGTTGGTCCCAATGAGAGGATTCTGTTAAGCTTTAACTGGGTTTATTATTCATCTTAAACAGATTCATAAATCAAACTTTTTGTTTTTCTATGTGCAGTTTGATGTTTTTGCCTCTGAGCTCCTCTGTGCCATGTTGGATCTGTTGTGACTGCAGGCTTCGGTCACTCGGACACCTTTGACCTCTGACCCCGCTGCCTTTCTCATCATTTCTGTTTGCTTGCAGTGAAAAATCTCCATGTTTTGACATAATGTAAACGGACGTCTGTTGAGCCCGATTCTGGAAGGAAGTTCCAAATAAAAATAATATAAAAGATTGCTTTTATTCGTCCTTATTCCATAAAAGTTTGGTGAGAATAAAATATTTATTTAATTAGATGCCTCATTGTTTTGCTTACTGTTAAAACTTGTTCAATATAAAGCTAAATACAATTTCATCTCTAATAACTCTTTATAGATAATTTTCCAGGAATAATAATTATTGATTCCTGGTGGCTTGGTTCTGTTCAGGACCAGCTGTGCTGCATCTGGACCAGGAAGTCCACTCGCCTCACCACCTGCAGGTTCTGACTGCTTCTTCTAAAGATCTTCAGAGCTGCATTCATCTCTGGCGCCCCCCGGTGGTAGAATCTAAATATTCAGATGCAACACAAACAGCGGAGTTATGTATTCACCAACAACGACCGTTTAGTTGAAAGTAAAGATTTATTGCAGCTTCATAAAGAAAAGTCTCAGGGTTCGGAGCAGTTGATCCACTTTTACCCCGACAGGAAGCAGAGGAAACCACAGAAGAAGGAATGCTGGTGTTGATGTGCAGGTGGGTCGGAGGTGCCGAGGTCTGCAGCAGCATGAAAACATCGCAGCTGCTTTTGGTCTCCTTTTAAAATTTAGTGCAAACTTACTTTATTTAACTAAACATTTCCTCATTTGTAACTGATGCTCGTCTCTCATGAAAAGCCCTGACCTTCTTCTCTGAGGACCACTTCCTCCCTTGAAGCCAACTTCCTGTACAGGTGCAACAAGTCGGCGGTTTGCGGCGCCTTCGACTCCGGCGTACTGGGAATGTCGAAGTCTGATGAGGTCTGCGACGCTGACAGCTGCTCCTGCTCTGACTGGAGCGTCACACCATCAGAGGTCTGGTTCTGGTCCTGATGGAGGATCAGTGTGTCGTCTAAATGTGAGTCCAGGTTCTGAGAGGAGTGGTTGGATGCCGACAGAGTCAGGCTGAAACCTTCGTTGTTGTCGGGAGTTTCCTCTTCCTCGCTGAACAGCTCTGGCGTCTGTGATCCAGTTGCTCTGGATGGGGATGTGCTTCTGACGGAGCAGCAGGACTGGGATTGGCTGTTCTGGCTGTCACTCAGAACCTCTGGGGTGAAGAAGTCCTCCCATTTGGGGCCTTTGTTCTTCACCGTGTCTCCCTGTCCCTCCTCCTCCTCATTGTCGTCCTCCTCTTCGCCGTTGGACTCGGTGCAGTCCATGAAGTTCAGTCCCACAGGCTGCATGTCAGAGGCAACCTGCGGTTCCTCGCCGGCCACAGGGGGCGCCACTCTCTCCGTTAGCTCCTCTAAAGTCACCAAAAGAAGAAAGAATGGTTTACTGAGGAAACTACAGATGAATGAATCAAAGTTTTAGCTTAAAATGATGTTTTTACTGGATCACTGATGTTCTGTTTCACATCTGAGGAGATTCATCAAGTCAAACAGAGAACTGGAGTTCTGAGCCTTTAAACAGCAGCGAGTGCTAGCTCACCAGAGGTGGAAAGAGTACTAAAGTTTCCTACTTAAGTACGAGTACCAGTACTTTCATAATTTGTTACTCAAGTAAAAGTGAAAAGTATCGTAAATAAAATGTACTCAAAGTTACTTAGTTACATTTTTGTCAGCGTAAAGATGGTTACATCAGTGCAAAACCACAACACCAGTTCACAACACGCTCGTGTGTGCGCGCACACACGTACACACACACAGCTTGATGGAAGGATTTCTATCCAATCAGTGAGAACAGGACGTGCACATTGACTGGACGAAGTTTTTCTCAGATTGTAGGTTTCAATTGTGATTAAAATTATTCTTTATTTTGAAAAAAAAAAAGTTAATTTTTAGATGCCATCAGTGTGTGAGGTAGCTCAATGTTCGCATGACAAAACTCTAACATGAGACTGTGCTCTAACCTGGCACATAACAAGCTAAATGCAGTCAAACATTTCAGATGGACCGTACGACAGCTGCTAACGTCGGCCCTGCCCTACTTTACCTCTACATTACAGTTCCTTTATCCATGTCCATCCTAGAGCTCCTCTCTGACCTTCATGCTTATTTAGAGCAGCTGATTTTTAAAGTTAGCAGAGTTCATCTTTGGTAGTGGGTTCACTCACTCATTTAAAGACATCGGCCAGAGGCAAAATTCGTTTGAACAGCATGTGTAAATGTGTATTAAAACCTCAGATGAAAAAGGTTTTTGGATTTTGACGTCTGGAATTGTAAGAAAATCTGATGTTTGTGACCGGCGCGGGAAAAACAGAAACTAACGTCCGGTCTAAGCCCTGGGTAGCTGGTGACGTTTCACATGGAGCTCTGCTGAAACAGCTGTAGTAAACAACGCCTGGCTCCGCTGTTTCTGCGTTAGCGTTATAGCGGACAACAATGTGTCATCAGTCAGATGTAGCTTCAGCCTCTGCTAGTCGGTCAGATTTGTTTTTTCTCTGGGATACGGCGACAAGAAGAGATATTGGATTACCGGAGAAGTTCAACCGAACTCTGACCCCGCCAGCTGGATATCACTACCAGAGGTGCAGACATGTTTTAGACCGTTTGACTCAGAAGACCTGCGACCTGATTTGGACACAGAGGAGGATTCTGTTCATCTTCAGAACCAAAATCGGTACAGTTTGTTTACTTTTCTTGAATATTTCATTTCTGTGCTCCACTGGGAGCTCTAAGCTGACGAGTTCTCAGCTGGTCTTAGCTCCATCATGTGTCCCAATATAGTTCAGTAATCTACAGTTTTACTGGTGTGTGCATTTATTGACATAACTCTGGAAAATATTTAACCGACAATTTACCAGAATAAATCTTCCTGATGCTGGAGTAACTCCTTAGCTCAACTCGTTGTTTGCACTAATCCAGGATGTCATGGAGGTTCTAATGTTGAAATATAGAGATCATCTTTAAGATTATATTTGTGTGTGCGTGTGTGTGTGTGTGTGTGTGTGTGTGTAGTCTTTTCTTATACTAAACTGAATTGAACAGCGAACAAATGAGCTAAAAAAAACTCCAAACTAGGGGCTGCAAGACTTCTTTTTTTTAAGTCGACTGTTACGGCCCAGGGCCATTTGGGTATTTTTTCCTGTGTGTGTGTGTGCAAACTCACTGATGCGCCTGCAGCCTCTCAGAGTTCCTGCTGCTCTAAACATTAAAATAATTATTTCATTTTCTGTTCCTCACATCTGATTACCTTCAATGGTGTCTGTTTGTTGCAACCACCAGGTACAAAAACTAACTTGTTTTTATTTGACTATTTTTCTGTCCTGCCTGTTTATTATCTTCCTGCATCTCCTCTCAATCCTAAAGAGAAACTGCTGCCTGGGTTCATATATATTCACCTTATGAGTTACCTTTGAACTGCAGTTCTAAAAGATCTACCGACCGCAAAAACAGCGGAGTGCACGCCGGCCGCTTCAGTGAGGTGAAAACACCGGAGGACAAAACAGGTGATGCGCTACGCTCCACAGCAGCGACACGCATCAGGCACAAATAAAAGACAGAAAACATCAAAGGAAATGAGCCGACATCAACGATCGCGTGTTAAATTAGTTTTTGAGGTGACGAAACCTGATTTGATGTTACTGTGGCCGTGCTCAGGGCGCAGATGTCTGGAGCGCGTCAGCGATCAGAGCTTTGCATGCGCAAGCTGGTTAAGGTTAGGATGGGGGTGAGGGGAAGGTCACATTGCTAGAGGGTAAAGGTCAAAATCGGTCAAATGTCCGTTTTACGGCGGGCGTCAGATACCGATGCTGTGACACAGCGCGTCGCCTCCCGACGCGCAGGAGCTCGTCACCTGCTGTCTTTTCCGAGGACTGCATCGTCGGTCATCATCACGTGACAGAGACTAGTCGATGAATGGCTTAAAAAGTCACTACAGAGCAGTGAAGTCGACTAGCTGATACAACCCCTACTCCAAACTCACCTTTTTCTGCCTCCTGGTTCATGCTGATCTTCTTCCTCGGTGGTACCAGGTCCAAACCTTCAAACAGCTCGTTGTCGCTCTCAGAGTCTGAACAGAAAATAAATAAATAATCATCATCAGTAAACATTAAAAACTTCCCAAAAGGCTCGAGTTAAAGAGAGTAAAGAAATCATCTCATCACAAATAAACTCAACTTTCACCTGAAAAGTTTCTTAAACCAAAAATGTTTTAACAAAATCTGTTGAAAATCTGATGGGTTTCAGTTTTAGTCGGACATGTTCGTAGCTTATTTGAATGTTTACTTCAGAAATTATTTTTTAAATACTTTCTCCTTTTTTATTTACATTTAATATATTTTATAAATAATCCAAGTGGTTCAAAGTCTGAGAATCCTGTTTGTTGTTGTGAATTTTATCAGAGCTGAAGCTCTGAGCGACCGACGTGTGTGTGTGTGTGTATTTGTGTGTGTGTGTGCGCGTGTGTGTGTGTTACTGTTAGACGGCCGCTGCACTCTGCTACGCTTCAGGACTCCCAGAGGTTTGTAGATAAACATCGTTTCATCAGATCGTTTCCTGCTCATCATCCTCAACCTGAGGAAAAAGCAGAGATTAATGTTCAGACCAAAGCAATCAATCCAAAATGTGTCAGTTTTCTTTAAACTGGAATCACATGTGAGTGACTTCAGTCAGCGAGCGACCGATCGGGACGACGCTTGGCAGGATGTTAACGGGCTGAAGGTACGACAGGAAGTCTTTAATCTGAAAAAAAAAATGTTTACAGGATTTAATTAGAAAAACATTTAAATCTGAATTAATCGCTCGTTTCAGACAAACAGATTCACTGCGTCACAACCACCACAGCTGATGACCTAATCTAAAACTAACTAAAATATAAAAATAATAATAGATTGTAATATTTTGGGCTGCACGGAGGAGCAGTGTGTGTGTGTGTGTTGCCCTGTGGTGGACTGGTATCCTGTCCAGGGTGTACCCCGCCTACTTGTCCAGATTGCTGGAGATAGTAGAGTGACCATATTTCCATTTCCATAAAAGAGGACAGGAGATCTGTGCCCATCGATGATGTCACACCAGGGCTGGGCGATATGGCCTAAAATCAATATCACGATATATTGAGGATTTAACCTCGATAACGATAAATGGACGATAACTACGGGGATGCACAGACACACAAGTTGTCCACTAGATGGGGCTGTCACGTGTTACGTTGAGTCACATTTTTACCTGACTCAAGGTGGTCCAGCTTCTTAAAGGGACATGATTGTTGCCAACCAACACACATCTGTTCATTTTTCATTATCAAATTTATTGACACGGGCAAAATTATCACGATAATGGTCAGACATTTCGATAACGATACATTTTTGCACAGATTATTAAGGATGCTTGTTTCAGCTGTGAGATTAGACGATCGGGTCAATGATAAAAAAAAATCTTGTAATGGACTCCATGGAAACTTTCAGAGAATCCACAAATAGTCTCTTTCAGATGGTTTTGTTACTGACAGATTTGTGTGAGTTTAGAAAAGAAGCAGATGAGACGGCGTGTCCGACAATTTTGTTTTTGGTTGGACAACGTTAGAACATGTCAGTGATGTCTGAGGTGTTTTAACAAACACGGTATAATTAACACTCCTGGACAGGGTAGGAATTACACAGAGGCTTCTGGGGGGTGCTCCGTTTTGCCTTGGCCCCCAAAATGTCTTGAGACGGCCCTGGGTGTGTGACTGAGTGTTGAAGGTGATCTGAAGTGTATCAGATGTATAAATATTACACGTGTATCACTTATTGTTTTATACAGGTAAAAACGTGTAGTGGAGATAAATCTACCTACATTTTGTTTTGTTTTCTTGTTTTTATTTAACTATTTTCCTGTCCTGTCTGTCTCTCATCTTCCTGCATCTCCTCTAAACTCTCCAGAAAAACTGCTGCCTGGATTCTTACTTTTTCACCTCATCAGTTACTTTTGAGCAGATCAAAGATCTCCTGACCGCAAAGCGGAGAGCGCCTTTCGATGCTGCGTCAGTGAGGTGAAATCACCGCAGCACACGATGAGCGGAGCGCGTCAGGAACGATTAAAAGACGGAGTACCGGAGGATATAAACAGAAATGAATGATCATGTGTTAATAATAATGTTTTGTTGCACCACCTTGAGAATGTATCGTGCGCCGGAAGCAGCGGGTGCACCAACGATCAACGCTCTGCGTCCTCTCCGCTTAACAGAATCCCGCTACGCTGACCCCTCCTTTCCATCGGAGCCGTCAGCAGCACGAGTCAGCCGCGTCTCACCCCGGGTTTCCACGGGAGCCGTCAGCAGCACGTTACTGCAGCAGCACGTCTTGCTCGCGTAAGCTGCTGCTTGGCCCTTCCCACGAGACGCGAATCAGCAGGGGAGCAGCTGTCACCGACCGAGCACGAAGTCACACGAATGACTTCGTCAGTAAACACAACAACAAGCAGGAGAAAACTACAACATGGCTCCAAAATGTTTGTGTTTTTATGTTCTGTCCGTTTTATAATTGCCAATACGGACCTGAAAAACAAAGGAGACCGCTAGCTAGGTGATAACTTCTCACGAGGACGCACAGTTAGTAACCTTTTTTAAAGTAAAGCGACCGGAAGGCAGTACGTTCTTTATTCTGAAAATCTCGGGAGCTTCTCTCCATTTCCGCATCCGATTTCCTGTCTTTCCTTCCCCAAAAATGTCGAACTTGACCCATTTCAGAGGCGTCGCGCGTAGGAAATAGAACCGGCGCGTAAAGGCCGCGACATGCTGCTCCTGAGACGCGGCCGACTCGCGCTGCTGACGGCTGCCGACGGCTCCAGTGGAAAAGGTTCTGTTGACCACAGCCGTTCCTATCAGCAGCTATGACGTGCTGCTGCAGTAACGTGCTGCTGCAGTAACGTGCTGCTGCAGTAACGTGCTGCTGACGGCTCCTGTGGAAAGCCGGGGTCAGGAGCAGCATGTCGCGGCCCTTTCGCGCCGGTTCTATTTTCTACCCGCTACGCCTCTGAAACGGGTCAAGTTCGACATTTTTGGGGAAGGAAAGACAGGAAATCGGACGCGGAAACGGAGCGAAGCTTCCCGAGATTTTCAGAATAAAGAAACATACTGCCTTCCGGTTGCTTAACTTTAAAAAAAAAGTTATCACCTAGCTAGCGGTCTCCTTTGTTTTTCCAAAATGGACGACGAAAGGTTGATTACTGAAGTGGAGAAGTACCCAATCCTGTTTGATCCCAGTCACAGTTTTCATAAAGACAATGTCAAGAAGGATTACGCATGGAGTGACGTATCTGCTGTTTTGGGGCAAGATGGTGAGTTATATGAGCCATGTTGTAGTTTTCTCCTGTTTGTTGTTGTGTTTACTGACAAAGTCACGCGTGATTTAGCTAATGTCGCGTGACTTCGTGCTCCGTCGGTGACAGCTGCTCCCCTGCTGCTTCACGTCTCGTGGGAAGGGCCAAGCAGCAGCTTACGCGAGCAAGACGTGCGGCTGCAGTAACGTGCTGCTGACGGCTTCGGTGGAAAGGAGGCGTGAGAGTCCATAAATATTGTAATATAGGCAGAAACTGGATCTTTCCCTGAAACATATCTAGCCCCCATAACTCGATCCCTGCTCCTGGATGAAAAACCAGACATTTTGATCAATGTAGGAAACCCCCCGGACACCACGGACAGAGAGTGAAAAGTGGACACGTCCGGGGGAAAGAGGATGTATGGTCACCCTAGGAGATAGGCACCAGCCCCCCCACGACCCTGTGTGGATAAGCGGGTATAGACGATGGATGGATTCCCTATTAACCTTCAGTTCAGTGACTTCGCCCACTAGCCAATCAGTGACTGATAGTTGCCGACGTGTTTTTGGACCGGGTCAGCACACTAGGAACCCCAACCAAGCGGGTACTGAAAAGTTGGGTCCTGCTGTGTCTGCTTCATAATCTGCCCAGCTGGTAGCAAACTGCAGATTTTACCGTCATCACTAAAATATCTGACTTTAACTTTTTTTCTCAATGAGTTTGACACAAAAATACAGGTCCTTCTCAAAAATTAGCATATTGTGATAAAGTTCATTATTGTCTGTAATGTACTGATAAACATTAGTGTAACCTCAGTTATTTTACTAGAGGTGGTTCACTTGAAAACCTTTGCGGTTTAACACCGAGTGGACCAGATCAAAAGATTCTAGGTTCTGAGGAGCAAGTGGTGGAGTGACAACATGGACCAAGCAAGGTAAGTATAACAACGGTTCATTACCAGCATTTATAAACCACTTAATATATAACAAAGCACTTTGTGAAATAAAATAAAATAGTAAAATGAAATGTCACCAGTCTGTGTTTGTTCAGTCAGTCAGCTTGATAAATGTTCATGAAATCCTTGTCAGTCAGATCTTGGGTTGAAGTCGAGTTCAGGTGAGTGACAGACCAGTAATGGGCCATTCCCATCTGTACCGGGTCGGCCCGGGCTGGGTAGCCCCAGTCGGCCCCAGCCTGGCCCGGTTGATTCCACACATCCTTGCCTTAAGCCCATGTGGGCTGATTCTACCCACCAATCAGAGGCTTGCTCTAATGGAAGGTGTGATTTTGCTGTCAGCAGTGGGTGTGTTGGCCCTGGTCGGCCTGAAGCAGACCCCCTCGAGAAGAGGGCTGAGAATGAGCCTTGGTTGGCCCGGAAAAATACCAGGCCACCCAGATATGTAAACAACCTACGCTACCCGGCCCGGGCCGACCCGGTACAGATGGGAATGGCCCATTATTCACCGGCTTGATGGTTCAGTTGGGCTGGGGCTCGCCATCCAGAACTGGAACAAGAATCTTCAAATCACCGAGGTAAATCAATCCAAAATAAATTAAAAAAAACCTGACCTAAAGAGAAGGTCAGAATACAATCTAACACTGTAGAGGTCTTTAAAAATCATCTAAAAACTCACCTTTTCATCCAGGCGTTCCCTCCCTAAATGTTCTAAAAGATGGCTTTGTTCGGGTTCACACCTTCACTTTGTTTTTACTCATGATTTTATTTACTATTTTATCACTGCTATTGTTTTTCTGATGTTTTTATTGGTTAGAGGTATTTGCCCTGATCTTACTCATGTTGTACAGCGCTTTGTGATTTATATCTGTGAAAGGCGCTCTATAAATAAACTTTTACTTACTTACATCACATTTTTATAAACTGAGCAATACAGTGTTTTAATTGGTCATTTAAAACACTCATCACCTCCACATCTATAGCCATCTTTCCAGTTAAGGTAAAACTGCAGGAACTAATATTTAAGCGCCAAGTTAGTTCTAACGGCTGTCGAAGGTTAGCTACGGGGCTAATATAGCTTAGCATGAATTAACACACATACACACTAATAGACTCACCAAGAAAAGTCAGCTTGGTTTACACGGGGTTTCCCAAGGGTAATTCGCGGCAAAATCACGGTCTTTGGACCTCTGTATCTCTACAGCATAGCAAATAACTTGTTACTATTACACAGCAACAGCACCTAAACACGAAAATTATATCTGCTTACCGAACTTGGAGTAATTTTTTTTTCAAGTAGCGGCTGCTAGTGCATCCTAGTTTGCTCTTCACTGACAAGTGCTTCCTCGTCAGGTAGGAATTTTGGGTTTTCGTGAGCTGTATGACAAAATCATCCATATTAGAAACAATAAAAGGCTTGAACTACTTCAGTTGTGTGTAATGAATCTAATATATATGAAGGTCTAATGTTTATCAGTACATTACAGACAATAATGAACTTTATCACAATATGCTAATTTGTTGAGAAGGACCTGTAATCCGTTCCATCAGCTGATTATTTGTAAAGATACAGAAAGTTTGTTACTGCTGGAGCTTCTGAATTCAGAGTTTGTTGTTTTATTTTAAGTTCTGGATGTTAAATCAAGGTTTAAATTGTATTTATTTATTTATTTATTCTCCATTTGCTCCACAAGGAAAAAACCAGAAGAACCTGACCTCAGAGTAGGAGGAGTGGAAGCTGAAACAGGCTCGGTAGGAGCTGGCTCCCGTTCTGGAAAACAATAAATAAATAAACAAACCATCAAATAAACCCTTTTATTCTCCAAACAGGTTCCTTACTTTATTACAACGTTGGTCTTCTTGGTTCTCTCTCCGAACCACATGGTGGACGGTTTGATGCTGATGATGCGCAGAGGCGTCCCGTCAGCCGCCGTGCTGCCACACGGCAGCCGGTTCCCCTGGAGAAACTCCTCATCCTGACAGAGGGGCAGGAGGAGAGTGTGTTTTGTTTATCACGACTCAAAACTGTTCATTTCACTTTTGCTGCAACAACAGAACGGGTCAGAACCCGGAATCGGACCTTTGGGTGGCGACAGGCGTGGATCTGACACCGGCGGTCCGTGGTCACGTAGCTCAGGATCTCCGGCATCTTCTTAAACATGTTCAGACTGTTGACGTGGACCTGACAGGGACGGCAGTTTCAAACTCGCTTCTCTTTTCTGTTTTCACTCCTCTGTTTAGGAGAATTAAGTAAACCCACCAAATTTAAGTGATGGATTTAGTTTCTGATTAAAACCTTCAGCTTTTTCCACCTACATTTTGAGAGAAATCTCTTTAAAAGACTTTTATGTTTTTAATTCAAATAGATGAATGGGTGATTTTATCCACCTCCTGATTCAGGAGGTTGATCTCCAGTCACGTGTCACCTGTGTGCTGAACTCTTCTCCCAGGTTGGTGAACAGATACTCGTATCCATACGCAGCTTTGCAGTTCAGCCACACCACGTGGTACCGGCTCTGACTGATCCAGTTTCCTATCAGCTCTGCGATTCCTCTCAGGCACACCTCCTGCTCAGAAACACGAGAACGACGGTTAGCCACTCCTGCTTCAGATAGGAAGATGAGCTTTCATCATCTACATGAAACAGTAGAAAACAGAGCATCATGATGTTAGCTTCGAGCATCAACATACGTGTGCACGAGTGACATGACAGGTCCTGCTGTGATGTCAGAGAACAGCAGGAGGGGTCGGTCATGTGACATGTTGTTTTCCTAGTTTTATTAACAATCATCTACATCCTGCACTGCATTTAGAGCTATACACCTAACAATAGAGGGTGGGACTTCTGATCTATCAGCCAATGGGGTCCAGCACCTGTTGGATCAGGTAAGATGCTGACCAGGAAGCTGAAGTGGATATGAGGATGGTAACAGGGGGTTAAGCTGAAAACTTTGTATGAGAGAGACGCTTCTTTCAAAGGTTTTCGGCGGTTTATGAGGCTGGATTGAGGATGTGAGGCGTGTTTAACTGGAGGACACCAATTTGAATGCAGTTTGTCTCCGCGGTATGGAAAGCACCAGCAGGAGTATTTTTTAATATTGCAAATATCAACGACACCTAGAGTGATGAGTAAAGGAGTGAGGCACGAGAACACCCACCCTACTGGGTATCTGGTAGAAGCGCGGGTCGTAGAAGGTGGAGTCCAGGTAAACGCTCTGAATGTCTTTGACCCTGTGAGACACAAACATCAGACCGTCTCCGTTTAACGCAACCGTCTGTAAACCCAAACCTCACCAGACTCACCTGCTGCCCGAGTGCAGCTGCTCCATCCTGGATGCGTCTCCAACAGCCAACCTGAAGTCACCTGTGTACAACACGTTTCCATGGCAACCCTCAAACAGGAACCTGCAAACATTTTAACGTCAACCTTAACTCCGACTCTTCAGCATGAACAGAACCAATCAGAGCGTTCTCGCCAGGTTTCCTTTGACCTGGTGTGAATTTCTGCCCTGAGTGTTGCCTTTCAGGCAACATATCCTATCTGCTTATATGGGAGGGGCGGGGCTTAAAACCTGTACAGGAACCAGCCACTAGGGAGCGTTTGCGTTGTCTTGGCTTCATCTGGCGGTCAGATATCTAACAAACATCCCGCTGAGAGCAGAACCGTTCAGAACCTGAGCCCAACAGACGTAGCGTCAAATTAGCATAAAGCTAACAAACAAATAAAGCCCATTTCTTCTCCCTAGAACACATGTAAATAATAATAATTATTATTGTTTTAAAGAGCATCACAGCACTAAAACTGCATTAGTGAGAGTTACAAATGATATTCTCATGGCCTCAGATAAGAATCTTGTGTCTGTTCTAGTCTTGTTAGATCTCAGTGCTGCTTTTGACACAGTTGATCACAATGTTCTTGTAGAAAGACTTGAACATGTTGTAGGGATCAAAGGAACAGCGCTAAGCTGGTTTAAATCCTACCTGTCGATTTCATTTTGTAAATGTACATGACAAATCTTCTTCATACTCCAGAGTTACTTGTGGAGTACCACAGGGTTCAGTGCTTGGACCAATTCTTTTTAATATATATGTGCTTCTAATTGGTAAAATCATTAGACAGCATGGGATAAACTTCCACTGTTATGCTGACGATAATCAGTTATATTTATCCATTAATCCTGATTAACCTAATCGGTTGGGTAGATTACAGGCTTGTCTTGAAGACATAAAAAAATCGGATAACTCTAAACTTTCTGCTTTTAAATCAAGACAAGACGGAAGTTCTCATCTTTGGACCAGAAATCCAGAAAAGGAAATTGCTTAGCCAATCACCTGACCTGAATGGCATTACATTAATCTCCGAGAACAAAGTAAGGAACCTTGGTGTTATCTTTTTCCACCTTCGGAATATTGCTAAGATTGGAAGCATCCTTTCCATGAGTGATGCTGAAAAACTAGTTCAGGCATTTATTACATCAAGACTGGATTGTCCAAAATGCTGCAGCTAGAGTTCTGATGAGAATTAAAAAGAGAGATCATATCTCTCCTGGCCTAGCTTCCCTACATTGGCTGCCTGTTAATTTCAGAATAAAATTTAAGGCCCTTCTTCTCACATATAAAGCTCTTAATAATCAAGCTCCATCATACATCAGTGATCTGATTGTTCCATATGTTCCTAACCGAGCACTTCGCTCTCAGACTGCAGGTTTACTGGTGGTTCCCAGAATATCTAAAATTAGGATGGGAGGCAGATCTTTTAGTTATCAGGCTCCTCTCCTGTGGAACCAGCTCCCAGCTTTAGTCCGTGAGGCAGACACCTTGTCTATTTTTAAGAATAGGCTTAAAACATTTTTATTTGATAGGGCCTATGGTTAAAATCTGATGTTAGCCTAGATCTGGACAAGTGGGGGAGTAGAGGGAGGTGGAGTGTACAGTCGGTAAAGACGGCTCTCCCTTGCCCTGCCTCCAACATGCCTCCATCTAAAAGGCTAGGTTATCCTGAGTTATCTCTGTAGTTATGCTGCTATAGGCTTAGACTGCTGGAGGACATACTGACTAAAGTCGTCATTTGCATTTTTTTTTCTGTGTGGGCGTTGGAACGAGCCCCCGCACCATGAGAACAAACATCCCAGCTCTAAATCCACGTGTTAGATCGTTTTGGGCCGCTGCTGTTAAAAAAAGTGAGGTGCGAACTGGAAAAGCTTCCGCTGATCACAATTCAACAATGGATTACGAAAGAAGGGTAACGCTCAAAATGTGCAGATTCTTCCTGATGCAAGAGGTGAGTCTCCTCTTTGTTTTGGTTGTTCTGGCGTCGACATCATCCTAGCACGCAACATTCGGTGACTCTTAAAAAATCTGTGAAAACACTGAAAAACGCTGGCAGCGATGGGCTTTACCGATCAGGAAACGGCTGGCAGTGAATGAGTTAAAAGGGAGTTTTCCTCTCCACTGTCGCTGCATGCATGCTTAGTATGAGCATTGCTGTAAAGACTCTGACACTAGTCAGTGACTCGATGCAACCTGCTGGGTTCCTTATATAGGAAACTTTTTTCTGATTGGCTTAATGAACTGACCTGAATTGGAATGTTTATTATGTGAAGGTCCTTGAGATGACTCTTGTCGTGATTTGCTGCTATGTAAATAAACTTTAATTGAATTATTATTATTATTATTACTACATACATGTCATTAACATTTAAATTAACTTAACTTTCTACAAAGCAAAAATAAAAAGATTGAGTCAGTGTTTGAAACACAAGAAAAGAAAAAGACCAAAACAAGATCAGTAATATGAAGTACGGCACTGTTGTGGGTAGGGGGCACTATTCTGCACTCGCTAAAGGACATAAAGGCATTTTACTGGGAATTTAGGGCCGTGATGTTCTTTGTTCTGGTTCCCACTGCTTTGATGGAAACAGCTGGGAGAGGAAAGGACCAGGATGTGACAAGTCTGTTGCTTTTTCTGGCATCATGAGGAGTAAATCTGAATCAATGTGGGGAAAAAACAGCCAATTATCTGCCCTGATGACCTTGTGAAGAGGTCTCATCAGTACCTAGATATGCTACACCTGTGAGGCTGATGGATTATCTCAGCCAGAATGCTCACTAATCCAGATTTACACAGATTTGCCAACAATATCAGACAGAGAGAGAGAGAGAGTTGTGAGTTAAGCCCCCGTGGGGCAGAAACAGGTTTTGGTTTATAAATCTGTTGTGTGCACATACAGATGTGTTATCTGGATCCTAATCAGAACACAAAGTTCTGTCCAGAACTCCTGATCCAGTCCTCATCTCTTTATACTTTCCTTCACAGCAGCCAGATGTTCCTGTAGGTCAAGATCAGCTGTTCTCCTCTCACTCAAGTTTCAGTCCTGGTACCAGAGCAGTCAGAAGGTTTTGATTGTTAAGCCACTTAAGTCTGGATTAACAAGCAAAACAGAAAAACATTCGACTGAAAAGGTTTCTCAGCGTCACAAACCCGCGCCGGTGGAACTAGACGGTCTCCACAGATGCTAAAAACGAGCTTTAGCTGCAGATGGAGCAGGTCAGATCCATGTCTTACATGCAAAAGTTCATTATTCAGCACAAAGCTGCAGGAAGACAAAATAAAAACCCAAACAGTCAGACTTGTTAGGTTCGTGTAAGAAGTTTGACTCACATGACTGATCCAGGACAGTGACCTGCAGGAAGCAAAGTCACCACGATCTCCTGCTTCTGTGGCACAAACACAACAAACCAGTTAAAGCAGCAAAAAACGTGATCGTTTACGTCCGGGAGAAATCAACAGCAAACCTCTCCTGATGCTTCGTCCACCAGGGAAATCTGAGTTGGGCTCTCCAGCTCCAGAGGAACCTGAAACAGATTTTATTAGAAACAACAAACTTTGCTTTGGATTAACAAACGTCCAGATTGAAGAGCAGAGAGTGGACTCACGGTGTATTCCTCCCAGAAAGCGTACTTTGGGTTGTTGAGCAGCAGCTCTTTGGTCACGAACGAGCAGTAGAGTCTGACTGTTCGGCTGCACACAGGAGACAAAAATAAAAGCTGCTTTTCTTAAGAAAAGTGATTTTAAAGGTTTGAATTAGGGCTGGGCAATACATCGAAAATGCATCTTCATCAAAATTTCTGACTCTTTTTCCAGGTCAATAAATTTAATAATAAAAAAAATTAAAAGATGTGTGTAGGTTGGCAACGTTCAAGTCCTTTTGAGTGTCTTTCCGGAGTATTTCTCTTATGAAAGGGCGCCATCTAGTGGCTGACAGGGATATCACACTAATAATTTCTCCTTCCGTGTTTTTAAGATGGCGAGCGACTTCACGTTTCTAGTTTATTTATGTCCTTCTGTAGCCGACAAACAGCTAAAACACGTTGTTTTACTAGATTATTCTCATGTCATGTTGTGTTCTCATACATTTATATTTTAGAGACTTTCTTGTCCGTGAAAAGTTCATCAACTCTGCATCAGCCGAGGTATTCCTTAAATATGAAGCATGTAAGGTATTGGTTAGTTCTGGTCGGCGCTCAGTTTCCTAGGTGTCTGTGGGGCAGGGGGCGTGCTTAGCAAAAAAAAAAAAAAAGACGTCTTTGTTTACATTATATCACAGTCCATGATGAGACCATCGCTTTTACGGATTTCTGAAAAATTGTACATCATTTCTGAAAGGGGAAACTCCGGAAAGATACTTTAAGAAGCTGTACCACCTTTAGTCGCCTAAAAATGTGACTTAACGTAATGTGACAGTGTGAGCGTCCTGTCACAATGTCCCGATTGATCATGCGCCCTGGCTACTTGGCCAAGGGGATGTCTCTTTGGCTGACTGGTTAGAGCGTATGACTCTCACCCGGTAGTCTGGGGATCGAATCCCGCCTGGGCCCTCGTTTCTCCACCTTGCCACAGTAATACACGTGACAGCCCCATCTAGTGGACAACTTTTGCTTCTGCGCACACCTGTACTTATTTATCATTATCGAGGTGAAATCCTCAATATATCGTGATAATGATTTTAGGCCATACCACCCAGCCCTAGTTTGAATGAAGAAAATCTGTTTTAAAAAGAACTATAATCAATGTAAACAATGTTTAGTTTTTTTTTAACTATTTAATGAAACTTTTCTCTTTACGTTTATAAAACACAAAACTTCACATTTGACTAAAAACATCTCAGCAATAATTCCTTATGAAATATTTCTAATTTTGCTAAAAACTAAATATCAAACTAACAGTTTAAATGTGATTTTATAATCTGAATTAAATGTTAAAAACTGTATTTTCAAAATGTTAATTAACGTGAAGTTTTAGGAGTAAACATCTGATTTTTACAATAATTTAATAAATGTGAATTTATATCTTCAAATTTAGTCTTTATGTCCCAGCAGGATTTTTTAATCCCAAATTTTTTGAAACATACATTTTTTAATTCATTTTTTTATTTCTACATAAAAATTGTGATGTATTTAAATGATAAAACTAAATTAGATAATTTTAGAAAAATTAGGAATTCAATTTGATCAAATAGCTTACTTTTAAATGTGTTCATGCAGTAAAAGTGTGACTTCTCTACCTGATTTGTGGCTTTTAGATTTTTAATAATTTTTTGATTTATAAATTAAATCAGAATTATTTTTTTATTAAGCTATCTAAAATGTTACCCGTGACATTTACAAACTGTCAAAAGGCCTTTAATTTAAATGTTTTCTTACATTTGGACTTTCCTCAAAAATAAGCTGTATGTGAACATTTTTTGCTGATGGGTTAAAATATTAATATTTAGATTTTTCTTAAATAATAAATTAATTCTCATAGCTGAAGAATTTAATAAAATGTTGATGTTTTTAATTTTAAAACGATCTTTTTTTGTTATAAAACATTCAGCTTAAAACATATTTTATCTAGTTGTTGTTTTCTGAAATAATGTCTGAAATTTGAAGTTTAAACATCCTTCACTGAAAGAAGCCCTTAGCTTTAACTGGCAGAATATAAAAAGTGATGTTAGATTAGGTCAAACTGATAAACAGCTGATAAACCAGGTGTGCTCACCTGAACTGGAGTTTTCTCTTCAGCAACGGACCTTTTAGCCCTTTCATGTGATCTGTTCGGATGAAAACGCGTCTTTAGAGGATTATGTGCCTGACAGCTGACCATAAACGTACATTTACTCGGTTTGGTCACTGGTGTCAAGCCAGCCTCCAGTTTGTTTTCTGTTCCCCGTCTATTCAAGTTATTACGGGAATGGATGCGGAAACCGGGTTTCAAAATGAAATTCAACTTCGAGTGAATTATCAGATATTTTAAGAACATAATAACAAATAATTTAGGCTTGTTCACTATTAGCGGCCTGTCAATATCAAGGCAATCTTATTTTGGATTTCAAAGTAAAAGCCCAGTGAATTTTCATTTTTGAACTACTCTTTCAATGACTTCAGAATGCTCTTAAAAGCAAAAGTCATATAATGGTATTTCCAAAGAGTAGTTGCATTTTGTATCAACACTATCAAACCACAGCAATTTGAAATTGCCCATATTTGACCGACTTTTCACGATTTCAAAATGCTCTAAAAAGGAAAATTGCTGTTTCCACAGGGTAATTCCACTTTAGATCAACAGTATACAACCCCACAGTGATACCATATAAATATCAAGTCATTCTGATGTTGCCTTCCAAAATAAAGGCCTTTCAAATAGTCCATATACGACCAAACTTTCAGTGATTTCAAAATGCTCTAAAATAGAAAATTGCTGTTTCCACAGGGTAATTCCACTTTAGATCAACAGTAGACAACCCCACAGTGATACCATATAAATATCAAGTCATTCTGATGTTGCCTTCCAAAATAAAGGCCTTTTTAGATTGCCCATATACGACCAAACTTTCAGTGATTTCAAAATGCTCTAAAATGAAAAATTGCTGTTTCCACAGGATAATTCCACTTTAGATCAACAGTATACAACCCCACAGTGAAACCATATCAATATCAAGTCATTCTGATGTTGCCTTCCAAAATAAAGGTCTTTCAAATAGTCCATATACGACCAAACTTTCAGTGATTTCAAAATGCTCTAAAATAGAAAATTGCTGTTTCCACAGGATAATTCCACTTTAGATCAACAGTATACAACCCCACAGTGATACCACATCAATATCAAGTCATTCTGATGTTGCCTTCCAAAATAAAGGTCTTTTTAGATTGCCCATATACGACCAAACTTTCAGTGATTTCAAAATGCTCTAAAATGAAAAATTGCTGTTTCCACAGGATAATTCCACTTTAGATCAACAGTATACAACCCCACAGTGATACCATATCAATATCAAGTCATTCTGATGTTGCCTTCCAAAATAAAGGTCTTTCAAATAGTCCATATACGACCAAACTTTCAGTGATTTCAAAATGCTCTAAAATAGAAAATTGCTGTTTCCACAGGGTAATTCCACTTTAGATCAACTGTATGCATATAAATATCAGGTCATTCTGATGTTGCCTTCCAAAATAAAGGCCTTTTTAGATTGCCCATATACGACCAAACTTTCAGTGATTTCAAAATGCTCTAAAATGGAAAATTGCTGTTTCCACAGGATAATTCCACTTTAGATCAACAGTATACAACCCCACAGTGATACCACATCAATATCAAGTCATTCTGATGTTGCCTTCCAAAATAAAGGTCTTTCAAATAGTCCATATACGACCAAACTTTCAGTGATTTCAAAATGCTCTAAAATAGAAAATTGCTGTTTCCACAGGGTAATTCCACTTTAGATCAACTGTATGCATATAAATATCAGGTCATTCTGATGTTGCCTTCCAAAATAAAGGCCTTTTTAGATTGCCCATATACGACCAAACTTTCAGTGATTTCAAAATGCTCTAAAATGGAAAATTGCTGTTTCCACAGGATAATTCCACTTTAGATCAACAGTATACAACCCCACAGTGATACCACATCAATATCAAGTCATTCTGATGTTGCCTTCCAAAATAAAGGTCTTTCAAATAGTCCATATACGACCAAACTTTCAGTGATTTCAAAATGCTCTAAAATAGAAAATTGCTGTTTCCACAGGGTAATTCCACTTTAGATCAACTGTATACAACCCCACAGTGATACCATATAAATATCAAGTCATTCTGATGTTGCCTTCCAAAATAAAGGCCTTTTTAAATTGCCCATATACGACTAACTCTTTTACAGTTTTTTTCGATTGCTAAAACTCAAAAAGCAAAAATGACGCACAATTTTCACAACCTCTACTTCTGTTCCCAATCGCTTGACTCAATTTATCACTACGTAAGATTTCCTTCTCATATTAGAACTCTGAATTTCCTCCTTTACACTCTGATGTCGATTCCACATTACCTTGCTGTCAAAAAACAGCACACAATTTTCAGGTATTACACACACTTCTCACTTGAATTCTCAAAGCTTTAATCAACATCACACAAATATTCAAATCTCTAAACTTTCGGGTCTGGCAAGCAATTTGCAATCAGGGACTGCAGCATAAAAGGAAGTTTCCACAAGGCTACCCAGGTGTATGAGTGGTTTCAGGACCACCCACAGTATTCCATTTTATACCTTTCACCTTATTATTCCCCCTTCCTCAATCCCACTGAGGAGTTTTTCTCAGCCTGGAGGTGGAAGATGTACAAAAGGAATCCACAGAGCAAGGTCCCACTGCTTCAAGCCATGGAGGAGGCTTGTGGAGATGTGGGCTTTGAGGCCTGTCAGGGCTTCATGAGGCACTCGAGGCGGTACGTCCAGCGCTGTTTGGACCAGGAGGACATTGCCTGTGATGTTGATGAGGCCCTCTGGCCAGACAGAGACCGGAGGCATGAAGCCCCATGATTATGCTTGAACGTAGGGGGGGTTAACTATTAAAATAAAATGTTTTGTCTCAAAATTTGTGTGATGTCTAATGTTTGTCTCAGAGAAAAGTGGGCACTGTCATACATTCAGTGTGTAATTCATTGTGTTCCATTTAGAAAATTGTGTTTTCAGTTTTGCTCTTCAGTGTTCTTTCCATGCTTGGTAGTGTTCACCCAAAGGCTACTTGTGTTTAAGCAATGATTGGTATGTGTGTGTCATGTAAAAATGTGGCTGTGTTTACTAAAGAAAACACGCGTTCCATTTTGGGAACATGTTACGATGCATGATGGCAGGGTTTTGTTGCAAAACGAAGCCACAGTTTAGGGATTTTTGTGTTATGTTTGGGGTTTTGTGCGTGCAGTTTTGAAAGAAACGTACAGTTTTGAAAAATGTGTTTTAGCAATCGAAAAAAACTGTAACAATTTCAAAATGCTCTTAAATAGATTTTTGCTGTTTCCGCAGGATGACTACATGTTCGATCAATAGTATACAACCACACAGTGATTCCATATCAATATTAAGTCAGTCTGATTTTATTTATTTAAATTTACTGAAGTGGATTTCTTGTCTTTACATTTAATGACACAATCTTTTCTTTGTATTTGTAATAATAATAATAATAATAATGCATTGAACTTATATAGCGCTTTTCTAGACACTCAAAGACGCTTCCCACACACTCTCACATTCACAGACTGCTAGTGATGGTAAGCTACTTGTAGCCACAGCCGCCCTGGGGAGGTCTGACAGAGGCGAGGCTGCCATTCGGCGCCGTCGGCCCCTCTGACCACCACTAACACAGGCAAGTTGGGTGAAGTGTCTTGCCCAAGGACACAACAGCAGAATACTCCGGGCGGGAGCTGGAATCGAACCCATGACCCTCCGATCATGAGGCAACCCGCTCTACCACCTGAGCTACTGCTGCCCCAATGTTATGAAATAGAACAATTTTCATAAAAGTAAGATAGGTACATCTGTTTATCTTTGAAAACAAATCCCAGAAAAAGGGAACAGCTCAATACAAGGAGAGTAAATTGTAAAGTCCAAAAGGTGCAGTCATGATACCATTAAAGGTGCTTGCTAACCCAAAGCCCTGCATGTGTGGCAGTGTGATGGAGTACGGATGAGGAGGGGAGGGAAGTGAAGGCAAAGTACTCTCTCGTGTGGCCAGGTCCCCCGCTGACCCAAGTAGGCACCTCTGGAAGCCACAAATGCCCATCTGGACGGGGGCCTACATTAGCACCACCACCAAGCCCCACGAAGCCTGGGGTGGTGGGCGCACATCGTAACCCACCACAGAGGAAAATACATCCACCCAAACATTCAATAATCTCTCTGACTGCATAAGACAAAAGACACCACGGCTGAGTTTATTCTCCACCTCTGTACTAATTTTAAAGTTAACTATTGTCTTTTTTTGTGGGTTTTAAATGTGGTGAACACCTGACAAACAAAGTAAAAAGAAAAAACAATATAAGACTATTATAAATTAAAGGGCCTTGGAGATGTCATTCAAAATAAAACCAATGCACATCAAAACATACATGTGAGTAACAGAAAGAAGAAAACATTTCAGAATAATTCTAAGGTGGAATTACCCTGTGAAAAAAGAATTTTTTTCTTTTTAGAGCATTTTGAAACTGTTCCAGGAGTAAGTCTGATATGGGAAGTTTGAAAATGCTTTTATTTTTGAAAGCAAAATCAGAATAACTTGATATTGATATGGTATCACTGTAGGGTTGTATACTGTTGATCTAAAGTGGAATTACCCCGTGGAAACAGCAATTTTCCATTTTAGAGCATTTTGAAATCGTTAAAAGAGTCGGTCAAATATGGGCAAATTCAAATTGCTGTGGTTTGATGGTGTTGATACAAAATGCAACTACTCTTTGGAAATATGACTTTCGCTTTAAAGAGCATTCTGAAGTCATTGAAAGAGTAGTTCAAAAAATAAAATTCACAGGGCTTTTACTTTGAAATCCAAAATAAGATTGCTTTGATATTGACAGGGCGCTAATAGCGAACGAGCATAAATTATTTGTTATTATGTTCTTAAAATATCTGATAATTCACTCGAAGTTGAATTTTATTTTGAAATCCAGTTTCCACATCCATTCCCGTAATAATTTGAATAGACGGGGAACAGAAAACAAACTGGAGGCTGGCTTGACTGCAATGTTGGAATTGGAGGCTGGCTTGACACCAGAGTTTGACCGGTGACGATGATCGGTACCTTTATGGCAGTGAGAGAGGAAATATGCCTGGGCATGTAGGTTCTCCCGGTCGAACCGGTCCAGAGAAATGTTGGGATACTCCTTCATTCGACCCGCGAACGAACTCATCTTTGGGCCGAACTTTCTCCACAACAGCATCCGAGTCACCGGCAGGTTACGTCATTATCTTTGCTAGCTTGTCTGTTTTTCCGCCGAGTTCAACTGTTCTTCTTCTTCGATTTGTTTTTTTCCAGAACCAGCCCTTACACCGCAACCTAGCGGTGGACTTTGTTGTTGAGTTGTATTTCTCCTTCGGTTTATCGTGTTTAAAGCAAATATAAACCAACAGTTCGAAATCTTTCATTTATTTATACGCCAGAGGTTGATTCGCTAATTTCTAGTTTGTTGCGTTCGTTGTTACCCCGTCGTTTTCTGTGTCTTTGGTCCTCCAACAACGAAGAAGAAAGTTCACGTTACCAGGCAACAGACATCAAATTAGCAGACTGCTCAGTAAGAAAGGGGGGGGGGGGGGGGGGGGGGGACATACGAACGCAATTAAAGATATTTTCAGTAAAACAATAACTGTGTTGTTGTGACTGAGACTTATTTTGATCATACAGAATAGAATAGACTAGAATAGAAATAGAACAAGCAATTGTCATAATTGATTGCTTTTTGTTTCGTTTTTTATTACATGTTATCTTTATGAAGCGAATGAAAGCAAGCTTTGTTTTTTCCAACAAATGTGATAAATGTCTGTTTACTCGTGATGTGTCCAAATTTGAGATTATAGATTGTTTTCCTTTCTGAGATTAATGCAGGGCTCCTCACACTCTCCTCATGTGACTGTAACGTGTGTGTGTGTGCGCGCGCGCGTGCGTGTGCGTGCAGAAAAAGCATGTGGAGTTGGATTTTATCAAGATAACTAAACATAAGGCATATTTAGTTTGTGTTTTTTATTTTAGCAAAATAAAATGAAATGTAATAAAACGTTAAGAGATCTGAGATATTTGGAGCAAACCACGAATGACATTTTAGGTTCCCCAATGGTTCAGTTGTTCAGTTGAAGAACTCTTTCATTTCAAATGTGACAAAATTCCCCATCTAAATGTCGTGAACAACACCTAACTTTAAATGTTTACTCAAGGACCCAGAATAATTTAGATGTAATTTTTCTGCCAAAATCTGAGAAACTTTTCAGTTTTTTTATATGATCAGATGCTCATTTTCTTGTTGCATTTTCAGATGAATACGTTTGAGTTATTTTTAAAAATGCACTGATAAAATCAAAACAGCTTGAAGACATTTGGAGGCATGGACAACTGTCTCTTGGAATAATCTCTCCTATAAAAATCTTGGATAAAAATACCATAAGCAAACTTAAAAGATATTCATTTAGTGTTGAATAATGAACTACTTTAGCTCTACATGACACAAAAGCATTTAATTTAAAAGGAACAGTTCGTAATCTTTAAAGCATGTTTCTGCGAACATTTAAAAAACAATATCTGTTCCAGATAGCAGTTTCAAAATCCTCTGTTTGGAGAAATGTAGATGGGTTTTGATGGGGCTAATGGGCTAACTGCTAGTCTGAGTGGAGCCAGTTAACGAGTTTCTGCTGTTTTACATCAGTTATCTCAAATGCTTCAAAGCACTTCATGCAAACATTTTATTACATTTTAACGCCATCATGCATTCATGGGGTTTTACCATCGATTCATTTCCATAGGCTCCAATAACACGTTTTTGAAGATAAATGGGAGGTGGCCACCACCTCCATTTTGACCGTGTCACAGGTTCCGTCAAGCCCAGACAATTCCACAAAAGGGAAGAGAGGTGGAGATGAGGGTGGGGCTGTAAGGCTGGGATCAACTGACGACACCTGGTTGAACTAGCTACAAGCTAACCTGAAGCTAACCCAAAGCTAATGCGGAGGTGGGAGCTAAGCTAACGGAGGTAGCAACCTAGCTACAACCGCAGTTAACTGTGCACAACACCAGAGCTTCTGAGTCAGAGATACGCCGGGCTGACCGCTGGGTAAAACCGGGTGGAACACAGAGGTCTCCCGAAAGCTGCTGAAAGCCGGCAGCCCGTGCAGCAAACAGAAGCCGCGATCAGACAAAGATGCGCCGAGTTGCGGGGAGGGGAGAAGAGCTCCACAAGCCGATAGTGGGAACCCAGCTCCACCAACATGTTATATTTCAACCCATTTTCTAAAGTGCAGCATTATGTTAAATGCACTGGGTTTTACCCTATTACATTTAAATGTCATGGTTAAACAGTACATGTTAAAATCTAAGCTCAGCTCGGCAGTGACCTAAAATACATAAATATAATTTTACTTGCCGAAAAAAATGAAGTGGAGACTCCTTGGACGCCCTATTAGTGCAATTAATGCCACAGCAAGTCATTTTGTCCAACAATTGCACAAATAATATCCAAACAAGAATACACACACACAGAGAATCAAAATCCCGGAGCAGTTTCCAAGCCAGACCGAGGCTCTACTGAGGCCTTTCCACGGAGCTAGCTCTGTGGTCACGTGGGTCTGATGCTCATTAATTATACAGAATTTTAGGCTTTTAATACACTTAAACAGAAGAGTGAGAAAAAAATCACCCCCCTCAGAGTTGTCATGAGTGTAAACTAGATAATTTAAACAAAAAACATGTGTTGGTACCAGGCTGTAAACATGTTTATTTCTGCTGTGAAATTGGTATTTTTAACATGGGAGTCAATGAGGATTTGCTCGCTTCTGACACCAGCCCCTAGTGGATGAGGGTGGAACTGCAAATTTTCTGTACTTCCGGGTCGGCCTCAACTTTTTTAGCCGCATTATGGGGGCTTGGGTTTTACTCAGAGCTGAGTGTTTGTTTGCAGAAAGCAAGTACAGAGTAGAGGGTGACACGAGAATGGGTTTTCTTTGTTTTCCAATCCACTCCCACTGTAAAAAAAAAATCCTGCTGTCATGATGGTAAATTACCTGACTCCCATTTCACGGGAATCCCCCAGGACTAACAAAAATGTGTCAGCCTCCACTGTAGAGCTACAGCTACTGAACCACTTTTGGCTGGTACGTTACAGCCTTTCTGCAGGAAAGAACAATAAATGTGGACATGTATGGCAATATAAATGACATAAAATAGCATCTGCATCAATGTTTTTTTTAGACTATATTAGTCTCAAGACTCGTTTAACTGGCCCCTTGATGAATAGCTGTAAACCTGTTTGGTTAGAACAAATCTTTGTTTCTCCAAACAGATGCTATTCCAACAGCATATCTACAACAGGCAAGATGATGATGAAGATAATGATGATGATAGTGTGTGTGTGTGTGTGTGTGTGTGTGTGTGTGTGTGTGTGTGTGTGTGTGTGTGTGTGTGTGTGTGTGTGTGTGTGTGTGTGTGTGAGAGAGAGAGAGAGAGAGAGAGAGAGAGAGAGAGAGAGAGAGAGAGAGAGAGAGAGAGAGAGAGAGAGAGAGAGAGAGAGAGAGAGAGAGAGAGAGAGAGAGAGAGAGAGAGAGAGAGAGAGAGAAAGAACTAGACCAAATTCTTTCTTTGCAAATAATACATTTATTTATTCTGGCTCACCAGGCTACTATGTTAATTCTGGGTCGTCCACCGATTTACTCATTTAATGACATTTCCTCTGATGCCTGCGTCAAAAGATGTGAACTATCCCTTTAAAGCCTCTTGCAGGTGTTACGTTTCAGTGCTACTCAGTAAAAACGGCTTTCTTCTGACAAACAGTAGATTGCGGACATCTTTTCTCAAAAACTGACCCGTTCAGCTCACGGTTTGGAATAATTTAAATGCAGTTTATCTGGTCCAGCTGTAGCCTGTTTAAAAGTCGCTCTGATTTGTGAATAATTCTTGTTTAAACACTTGAACAGAGAGGCCGTTTCTCTCTGTGGAAGGGGGATTTCCGAGCCGTGTGTTTGTCCCCGAAGGCGTCTCTGTCGGCTCAGCAGTAGTGAACTCGCCTTTAACAGCTTGAACCGAAGCTACCGGGCTTTAATTCTGACCCGGCTCGACTCGGCTTCTGGGAAGTCATGTTTTCAGTGCAGTCCACTCCGGAACCGCGAGGTTAAAGACTCGGACCGGAACAAGAGGTTCTACGGTTTGTTTCATTCATATTTGTGAACATTTCTATTTATTTCCAGCGTGTGTCTGTTAGCTTGGTCTCGTTAGCCTGCTCCGAGCTGGCCCAAACAGTAAATCTCAGGTTGACTAGCAGCAGAAAACCCAGATTTCAGGTTAATAGCTTTTATGTGTGCTTATCGGTACACTATGACCCACGTTGTCATTAGGTTTCATCGCAATTTTAACATTTAATTTATTAAATTGAGGTAAATGTGCCAATGAGCCGATTGAGCCAACTTAATGTAATCATTAGCGTTTAAAAGAGGTGATTTTTATGTTTAAATAGAAATATTAGACACGGTGAACCGGGAGACCGTTTTTATAGCCTCACTCCGGTAAATTCAGTGGTCATCTCTACGTTTAGAAACTGAAACGCTGATTAAAGTGAAACGTATTTCGTTACTTTACCAGAGTAACTACATGAATTAAACGTTAAAGTAGAAACCATCACTTCCAACCTTCTTAATGGACCAAACGCATCAGTAACAGGTTCTGGATTTTATCTACAGACCCAGTTTATTCCCGTTTGTGGATTTGAAGCCACATAAATAAACCCAGGTGTAGTTTTTAGTGTTTTGGAAACTTTGTTTCCCTCTGAAACTGAGACGATCACAACTTCTCTGATATAAAAACACCTGTTAGTTTTCTCTGCCTCTAAAATAAAACGATTCTTATCGTTTTAAACCTAAAAAACATTCTTTAACTGGACTTTTTCGGAGACGGAACGTCGCAGCATGGTCTCTCTGGTCCGGTTCTAACAGGTTAATAATCTCAGACATACCAGAACCTCTGAGCTTGTTCAACAACAACCAGGTCAGGGAGCGTTTGTTCATTTTGTGACTTTTGGGCCATTCCCATCTGTACCGGGTCGGCCCGGGCCGGGTAGCGTAGGTTGCTTACACATCTGGGTGGCCTGGTATTGTTCCGGGCCAACCAAGGCTCATTCTCAGCCCTCTTCTCGAGGGGGTCTGCTTCAGGCCGACCAGGGCCAACACACCCACTGCTGACAGCAAATTCACACCTTCCATTAGAGCAAGCCTCTGATTGGTGGGTGGAATCAGCCCACATGGGCTTAAGGCAAGGATGTGTGGAATCAACCGGGCCAGGCTGGGGCCG